TGTGACAAATATTGGTAACCTTATTTTATTTTTGTTTCTGACTTTACTATTTTTTTACTATTTTTGTTTATTTTGCCCATTTATTTTAATTTTTAAAAATAGTTTCTGACTTTTAAAAATTCCCAATAATTTCATAAAATTACTTGGCCTCTTTTCTGATTTTTCTATGGTCTTATTTTTTATTTCTTGATTAATTTGAATATAATTGATATTTTCCTCATTATTTTTCTTTTTTTTACATTTTTAAACCCTTTAATGTATATATTAATTATATTATTATTTTGTGATTATTTTCTGGCTGTCTTGGGCTGATTTTTTTATCATGACTTTATTAACATCATTGGATCCATGGTGTTGAGTTTGACTCCATAAAAAATGGATGAATGATTTTAATAATAGGTTGATTAAATATTAATTCAAATTTGGTTTATCTTTTTACCCTAAATCCCCTTCATCTCATCCCCTTCTCATTGCACTAAATGTTGTTGGAACATGATCTCTATATCATGTCTCAAAATAAATGGTGCATAGATTGCTATTGACCGGCCTCAAAATAGGTGCGACTTCTATATAAATCCACTTACGATTGCTTAACATAGCGCTAAATTTTGTACCGATTCGAATAAATGATCATTTGTGGCCCAAACTTATGATTGCAAGCCCAAGTATGTTTATTTGATCTCTTTGATCCAATAACCTTGAGATTCATTGTGTGGAGGCTTTGGTTCTACCAATCCTCTAATGGATCTACAACACCTTTGGTCAATACGGATCACTTAAACATCGTTGATCATTAAATGATACTTATGAGAATTCCAAATGGATGATATAATTGACAAAAAGCAAATGCAACTTGTTGTGTGGAGGCTTTGGTTCTACCAATCCTATAATGAGTTCCAAATGCAAGTTTCAAGATGGTCATCCAACTAACCACTAATTATTGACTTGTTTATTTTATGCCTTTACTCTTTTATGCTTTATGTACTATTTATTTTTTTTAGCATATATATTTCATGCCATTTTCATCTTTGCTCATTTGAGCATTTATTTTTTTGTCATTTTTACTTTGCTCACTTGAGGTTTTCTTTTTCTTTTCTTAAGATACTTAATAATCAACATAAACCCTAAAAAACTCTTAATGGTACTTGGACTATTTGGTTACTATCCTTGGCATTATGGAGCAATGGACTTTTACTTGGACTTAGGATTAGAAACCTTGGCCTAGCTTGGAGATCTTGTGATCTTATCTGTTTATTTTGTCTGGAGTTCTTGAGGTTTACCTCAAGACATTGGGTTGCTTGTTTGTTTTTGTGTGCATGTTTTTGTGATTACCTCCTCTGTTTGTAATCTGGAATTCACCTATATACAGTCGTTACTCTGCCTAATCTTTGTAAAGACTCAATACATTTGAAGAGGTCTAGTATCTTTGCTTGCTTGGTTTCAATCCAAAGAATGAGAATTCTATCTTGACTCATAATGTCATGTATTTGCTTCTTGTTGGTTAGATGATTCTTCTCCTTAGCTTTTACCTTATGTTTTAGGATAGTCTCTTCTTCTCCTCCCATCTTCTTTAATTTCAAAAATCTTCTCTCTCCTTTTGAAAACTCTTCTTGTTTCTAAACTTGAACCACTTTCATAATAAACTTGGACCTAGGTCCATGCATTTTCAAAATCTTTTCATAAATAAACATCAATCTATTTAATAATACCTTGACACTTTTGTGAGAAGACTAAAAGTCAATCAATCTCATTTCAAACCATTTTTCCACTTTGACTTTTATCTTTAAACTTTTCTCAAAAGGTTAGACTCTTGCCAATCCTTGTAGTGATGCAAATAACTATACTTCTACCATATATAGTGAAGAGAGATATTTTTCACTTGGGTATTGAGTGAGGCATTATTGATTTTAAAATCTAAGCCATATCCTCCACTTTGAGATGATGTAAATTCTCCTTTCTCATGATTGTGGGTAGTAAGTATGTTTTCCACACGGACAATGACGATGATGTCTTATCTCTTAAAATTAACCAACACACTTGTGTTTCAAACTTTTTAAAGAGGAATTATGTTACCCCGATCCCCTATTGCATGAAAGGTGGTACGTATGCACTAATGGTTCGCAACCGCGGCGGGTACAAAAATCATAAAAAAATATATTTCTTTTCTCACCTCCACCATCCATTTTATATATAACACCTTTTTATATCCAAAATATACATATTTTACAAAGAGGTTTCTGCGGAGTACCGTAGATGTTTAGGGTGCTAATACCTTCCCTTTTCATAACCAACCCCCTTACCTTGAATCTTTCCCCCTTTTTTGGGTTATTCGCTCTTTTCCCATTCCTTTGGAAATAATAAAGCGCGGGTGGCGATTTTTTTTATTTTTGATTTGTATAAAGTCTAGTCAATCCAATGGCTTAGTCTTGAACATTTCTACCGCTACACCATCCAAACTGCAATTTTAAGGAGAAAATTGCAAATCCTCTCTCAATTGCAACTTTTAAACGGAAAAATTGCAAATCTATAAAAAATTCTCTCTAGACACCCAAATATCCAAAACCTCAATACACCCAAAAGACTATATTTTATTGTTGTGTAAAAAATTCAAACTAACTATCTCTATTTATATTAATACTTAAATTTTATTTTCTTCATACTACTTGATATGGGACTTAGATGAATACACTTTTTAACCCAACATCCAAAGTCTCACATATTTTTACTTTACCTTCAACTTCATCTTCATCAACCTCGTTTTCAAAGCGATCATTATAATTATAATGATTAGTCAAAATTATAAAATTATTACTCTTCAATCTTTTTGACTTCTTCCTCCCTTGATCAAAATTTTGTTACTCTTCCTTTTTGCTTGATCCGAATTTTTTGTGACTCTTCCTCCCTCCTTTGATCAAAACCTTAGCTCTGATACCAGTTGATGGGAAAATAACAAAAAAAACAAATTTTTATGCACGCGAGCAAAAAATAAAAAATAAAACTAAAATTATAATTCAACTTCTAATTTTACAATGACAAAATTAAAAATCCTCTCATATAATTACAATTTTTAAGGCGAAAATTACAAACCCTCTCTCAACTGTAACTTTTGGACGGAAAAATTGCAAATCTTTTAAACGAAAAAATTGCAAATCCTCTCAATTGCAATTTTTGAACGGAAAAATTACAAATCCTTTCAACAAATTATTTTTGAACGGAAATATAGAAAACCCTCTCTAGACACCCAAATTTCTATTTTTGAACAGAAAAATAGAAAATACCATCTAGACACCTAAATATCAGAAACCCCAATGCATTAAAAAACTATATTTTATTGTTGTGTAGAAAACTCAATCTAACTATCTCTATTTATATTAATATTTAAATTCTATTTTTTTTCATACTACCTGATGTAAGACTCAGATGAATACACTTTTTAACCTAAATACAACTATTTGTTAATATGTAAGCAAACAGATTACATGGTCAAGACCATTTTATACAATGAATTGAAATGGAACAGTATAGATATGTAAATACATAGCAACACAAAACTTAACTACCAGATATCTTAATATAAGTCATGTAATCTAATGCATATTTGGATATTAATCTGCATTTCACTTCTTCATGTAGGATATCATATGTTTTAATATGTTTCAACCACTATATCATAGACTCATTCAATTATTTTAGAACTCAACTATTCTATGAGTCTACCTAAGTTTACCTCAGAAATGATTTCATAAGCATGTCGTGATCTTGTCCAATTCTAAGAGTTAACTTTCGAGTTTGACGGCCATGCTTTTTAGTGTTTAGATAGATTATTTCATCTACTAAGGAATAAAAAAAGTGGGCTAGCAATCTAAATGAAAAAAGCCACTCCATCTTAAACTTTAAAACCACAAAACACCTCAATGATACTAGCAAATAATTCAACAACTACCCATAAGTTCTAGCAGTAGAAAATTTCATGTAAGACTATGTACATATATGTTGCAATAAGAGATTTTTCTAAGCAAGAAAGATATAAAAAGAGTAAAACATGAATTTTTAGAACATAATACAAATTTTTATGATAGATTGGAAACGAGAATATTATTAAGTAAAATCATTCCAGGGACCCGAGACAAACAATTATATATACAATAACTAAAGACATGGGTTTATATGTTATTGTTATAAGTGATAAAATATATTTCAACTTCTTCTTCGTAGATATTCTATTGAAATTTTTAATCTAAACAATTTTCAATAATATTTATTGAGATGATTATTATGTATAGATGTGCTAAGACACAAACACAACAATATAATTTTTTTTAATTATTTGTAATAACATTTCTAACAAATGATTTAAGATGTTTTAAGAGAGAGATTTTGATGTTAATTTTACTTTTCTGAATGATCTAAGATATGAATGAATTTATCCGTGCAAATATACGAGTCTTCGCACGGGCCTTCTATTAGTAATTAAGAATAATTTTATAAAAATATTATATATATTGACTAAATCATTACTTTTCTTAATTTGTGTGTAATCATCTTAAATTAGTCTTATTTTGAGACCGAAGGAGTATACCACAAGCTTTTATGATTGATGTAAATGGTCTGAATTTCCTCAAATTGAGTTGATTGCGCTTGTATGTGGGATAGAACACCCCTTCTACTCATTTAATCAAATTTAGCTTTAAAAAAATAGAATATTGAAAGAGACAACTAATCAAGATAGATAATTAATTTGATTGTGAGATCACATTAAAACACCCTTATTTATTGTGTATGCACTATATACACCGAGTGCAACATAGAACCCTTATCTAGTTTTTATCACAAAACAAACTATGACAAAAAAGTAGAAGTTGGAAAGAAGTAGAACAACACCAATGCCAATGAGGCATAATCAATAATATCATAGTCTCAAAAAAAGAGTTGGCAACACTTTCACAAATGAAATGAGGCCACAAGGTAAACCTGCAATTCCAATGTATATATACCAATTGTCACACAATACCAACTCCATACATGAGTAAATTGCCATGACTTCCATGAATATGATTATTCACCAATTGCTGGTGACAGTGATACCTCTTTCTATATTTTTCATTATCATTCCACTCTCTAACCCTATCATCTTCCTCATAATCATACCTATTCTCTTCAACCATTTCCTCTTCTTCCTCTTCCATATGACATTCATCTGTAACAAGAAACAATCTCAATCTTCCATCTTCTCTATCAGCGTAAACAGTTTTAGGTCTCTTTACGCTCATTTTGTTAAGCTGTAATCTTCCGTTCATCCTCACCGGTATCAGAATATATCTCGGTAGACCGTTACCGCCTAACGACGATAGCGGAGGCGGAAACATATTATTGCCATTTACACCTTCTTCTTCTTCGACAACCGTCGTATTCTTCGAACAATATTCATCATGATCATCCTCATCACCTTCAATATTTTCATCTATTATCGAATAATCATAATCGTCTACCAACTGCGTGCTTTCAAATCCAATACTCTCTGTACAAACCATGTCATGGATCGTCGGGCTGGGTGGAAGAGAGATCAAAAGCTTTGATTTAGATGAAACTGGACGGTTAGGGTTAGGGTTAGGGTTAGGGTTAGAGCATTTATGATTATTGTTGGTGGTGATGAAGAAAGAGTGAAAGTGTTTCTTGAAGTTAAAAAGATGGAAAAGAAAAGAAAAAGAAAGCGAGAGAATGATCTGGAAATACAAAGAGAAAATCATAACGATGAATCATGTGATATTGATTGATAAGATAAGGTAGGAACAAGGAAGAGATAGGAAGAGCGTGAGGTATTAATATAATATCCTCAGCCCCAAAGATAGAGAGTGTGTTTTATATGGTTATGAATTATGATACTAATCTACTAATGGTCATAATAATGAAAATGGTGAAGATAGTGAAGGGGTAAGAATGAAAAAAATATATGGAAAGACGTGTAGTGAATAGTGGTGGAGTAACTAGGAAACGATGCCGGGTTACACTGAGATGGCCTATGAATACGCCTAAAATGGCACATTGTCATTTTTCTTCCACATTCTTTTAAAAGACTATCCTCATCCTCACTTTTTTTTATAGGTTTAGATCCATATCTACATGATCCGGTGGTGTAATTTTTAATTTATATGCACTCATTTAAATATTTAAATGTGCAAAAATATATTATTGAAAAAATTATAATTGACTTTTGCAGACGAGGATTAGACTCGCATTCTCTAATATGTTTGTTCTATCCATCTCATTTTTGACGGACTTTTGCGGACGTGAATATTAATATAAATTTTTATATTTTTAGACTTAAAAACTATAATACTTACAGGTCCGCCATGTCCCACCCTATTTTTTTGCAAGGAAGACTAAAGTTTTAGATGAGTACTCTTAATTATATCTGCTATATCTCATTTTGTTTTTTTTCTGACTTTTACAAGACAGTCATGCATGTTTTCCACCTCTAGTAACAACTTTGTCTTTTGAAAAATGTGTCTTGATAGATTAAAAAGTGTGAATGTTATATAAATTATTACTAAGTAATGTTAGATTTTTTGGTGTATCGAAACAACTGTCAATACAATATAATTATATTTTGATGTCTTTATTGTTGGAAGGATACAAATTAAAATACATCTAATACAAGGTCAATGGATAATTGATCATCACATGATCATACTATGAATAATAACGGTAACAGAAGAACAACGCGAATATATTCTTCGTAAATTAATAAGAATACAAAAATAAGTTACAATCTCACCCATACAAAACGTGGCTAAACTCTTTTTCAGATTTTTTCTAAAAGATTTATTGGTTAAATATGGTGGTCAAATATCTAGAACGGATCTAATAGACTAATTCCCTTCTATTAATTTCAAAATCATAGTTGCTTTTGCAGAAACTTTAATGGTAAAAACAATTTTTAAAAAGAGTTTTATGCAATTTCAAAGACTTAGATGGAATGTTACAAACACCAATAAGATACAAATAATGAGAATGCAATATGCAGGTTAACCTTCAAAAGTTTAAATAAGAAGTTTGAAATATTTTGGATAAGTCAAATTGTGGACAGTCTAAAATTACAATTTAAAAGATTAATCAACAAAAAGATCGTTTAGAAAAGTCTACCTAATCAGACCTAACTTTTAACAAGATTAAATGCTATGAATTCAAGAAAAGCCAGAATCATGCAATTCTAAGTAAAATAAGAAAATCTGAAGCATGTGATATTAATTCAAGAAATCTAAAGACAAAGAGATAATAACATGCACTTGGATTTATACTGGTTTGTACTTTTGTCCTCACTTACACCTAGTCTAGTATACAATGGTGTACAATTCAAATATTTGATATTCCACTTTATAGTTTTGGTTTAGTTTTTTGTTATAACAAAATCAAGGAAATCAATAAAGATAAATTTGCTCAATCCAAGCTATCTTTGTCTTCTTTCTTAATTAATTCTAGTTTGCAACCCAGTTAGCACAACTACCAAATCGATCGCAACCTTGATCATTATCTTTAACCTTAAGGAACGTCAATCTTCACACTTGCAATAATTCTCTTTTAATACTGCTTGTAAGATTTGAAATGGTTCTTCAATTAGTCGACACATCCCAAAAGTTCCACTTCAATAGAGAAGATTACTCTTTGTCTTTATAGGAAATTCACTAAACAAATTTTTGAAGTGAATTATCTTGTGATAGATACCTTGTCCCCTCGCAACACTATCTTGGGAATATCAACCCTTAACTTACTAGGGAAGGTTGGGTTCACCCTCCATTTTAGCCTCAAATATCCATTGCTTTATGGGTGGATCAATGTATTTAGAGGGATCTAGGAGATTGTCCAAGAATGTTATCAGAGCATCCTAGAAATGAAGAGGAAACTGGTTACCCTGGGCGCCACCCCTTATCAAAACACACATAATGTTGATGTAGCAAGTCAGGACCCTAGATTGGGGATAGAGAATTAAAGGCTTACCCCAACATAATACTTGAAAGAGGTGTAGATTGGCGCCTTAGACAGCCAAGTCACCAAGCTTGGTCCATCCATGTCTGAATTTGTAAGGAAGGAGCCGACCGTCCTACTCAGAAGGAACATGTTAGAATAGGATTTGGTTCTGCATCTAATCTCTAGTTTTAATGATAACAATACATATATTTTATATGTAACGATTTTGTATTCTAATAATTTCTTTGAGTGTGCAGATAAAGTATTCTAATTGATTTAGGATTGTTGTCTGAAGAATCATCAGAAATATGTTGACACTACAAAAGAACTATTGTTTTTCCTTCTCAAGAAACACCAGCAGTTCTGAAGAATGTTGAATGCTCGCTAGAAGAGAATATATGTGTTTACTCCAGATCAGAAACCAAGATGTGCTTCTCAGATAAGCTTTTACTTTCAGCTCAAAAGTCGAGATGAGTTTCTAAGGAAGGAATTTTTGAATAAAGCTTTTGCTTCAAGCTCAGAAATCAAAGATGTGCTTCATCAGATAAGTTTTTGCTTCCAGCTCAGATATCAAAATTTATTTGTCAGATAAGTTGTTGCTCTAAGTCTGAAGACAAGGTTATGATTAGGGGTGTTCGCGGTTCGGTTTGGATTGGTTTTAAGATAAAAAATCATCCGATCCAAAGATAAATTTACTTGCGGTTCGGTTCGGTTTTGGATGATATATTAAAAAAATCCAATCTGATCCGATCCAATTTTATGCGATTTAATTTGGATCGGTTTTTGGATATCCAAATTACACATTATATTTTTATTAATATTATAAAACTACAAATAAATCATAGATTTGATATAATATATAACATATAGTATATTAAAAGTTAATATTACAAAATGAGAGTGGTTGATTATGATTGAAATAATAAAAATAAATAAATTATACCAAACTAATAACTATTATTAAAAAAATTATTATCATCTAATAATAATTTCACATAGCATATCATACTAATAAAAAGTAAATAAGTATAAAAATATATGTATGCGGTTTGGTTTGGTTTGGTTTGGTTTGGATCGGTTTTGAAAAATTAATCCGAAATTCGATCCGAACTGATTGGTTTTCACAAAATAACATCCAAACACATCCAATAAATTTCGGTTTTTTGCGGTTTTCGGTTTTTTGGATCGTTTTTTCGGTTTTTTATTTGGATTGGTTTGGATTTGAACACCCCTAGTTATGATTCTAAAGACTCTGATACCTTTGAAAATATTACAATGAAACATCTTCTGGAATATGCTTCATTTCACATCAGAATAATTCCATTAGAAGATTAAAAAACAAAGTCGTGATCTCTTCTACACTTTATTCCCTAATTCAGATCAAAAGTATCTCATCAGAAAAAAAGATCAGAAACTTGCACAAGAAGAATACAATACAACAATACAACACCTATTCCGCTATTTATAAAGAACGCAATGTACGGTTGAAGATTTGTTGTGCTCTTGTCTGCCACGATCACACGCTACCATTGTAGGAGCTGGTAGATGAAAGTGACATTTGTGTTACCCAATAATCTTTTTTCTCAGCTGTTGTACCCCAAAATTTGCCCTCCCTTTTTCTCAACATTTCCCATCACAAAGCTCTTGAAGCTCAAGATCCAGTGAGGGTTTCATCTGCTCAAGACTCCTCCTTGCACTGCTAACCCAAATTAGGGTTTGTGTTTGCACAAAGATGCTTTGACCTAAAGTGCCCAAGATGACTTTCTTGCTTCATATTGGCCTCCCAAGTTTATCCATACCAAGTTTCAAGTCTTGATTCCAAGTTTTGCCCAGTCAATTGGACAGTTGACCTAGAAATCAACTGTATTGGGGAAAAAGTCAACTGTGGCCAATTGACAGTCAAATCTCATGAAATTTGATCCACATCAACATTATGAACTCCTAGGAATCATTTGATCAAGTTTGGACCACAATTCCATAAGAAATTTGACCAGATCACCAAAAGGGCAAAATGGTCATTTTTAGGGTTTTGACTGCACAAAGGCAATTTTTGACTGTTTGACCTAGCCAATGGCAAACCAAGCTCACATATGGACTCAAGGACCCCATGGAATCATCTTGACATGCTCAACAAACTCAAAAGATCCCAGGTACACAAGATTGATAGTTGAATTTCTCAGTCAATTGATCAATTTTGACTGTATACTGAAAAGTCAAACTTTGACTTTTTGGTCAAAATCAAGAGTCAAGATTCATTTTTCATCAAAATATGTCAAATCATGAAACTTGTTCACCAAGAAATCACAAATTGTAAATTAGGGTTAGAAAATGGAATTTTTCATAACTTAGAATTTTTCTAAGTTATGAAAAACCCTAATTTTTTCCCAACTTTGCCCCACCTTTTCACCAAGATCCATTTGGATTCAAACAAAAGTCAAAACATGAAAGTTGTAGCTTGTTGCATAATCTACAACTTTGATTCACAAAGTTTTCTCATTTGAAGCTTGTATCTCAAGTTACAATTTTTTGAATAAGGGCACTAAACCATTTTTAACTTAGTGAAATTTTAACCTATTTTGACAAGGTTTTCTACCCCACTTCAAGGCCATTTTTCATACCCTTCCACTTGGAATTTCAATTTGCATTTCAAAGATGGATTGTATTACACATTCCAAGCTTTCCAAAATGTCCAAGAACTCATCAAACAACCTCATAACTTGAGAGATTCGAATTTCACAAGTTGGCAAAAATTCACTTTTTGTTCTTAACTAAAACATGTTCA